TTGTCCATGTTAAATACTAATGCCTTTTCAACAACCTAAAGTGAAATACTAATGCATTTCAATACCTAAGTAAACTAAACCTTAAAAGAATTAATCATCATAACCTCAGTCTTAAGAAAATGGACAAAGGACTTGTCATGTCTCATGTATATTAGTAGTTCATTTTTGGGACACCTTAGTTCACTAACCAGTTTTAATTTCAGGGAATGCTAATTTAGATAGAGAAAAGGTCCACATTTATGCCTCTACAAATGAAATATTTCAATTTTGCCCCATTCTACTTTGGGTCTGTTCATACCCTAGTTATTTGCAAATCAATATTGTATTTGTCTATTGACGTTAATGGACCTCTAACATGAACCGGAATGATTCACACATCAAATACTTTGTGAATAACGGTCCAATTTACCCCTTCAGTTTTGATGGTTTAAAATTATCATCTGTTGTACTTTAGGTTGGCGAGCTCCATTAGGGATAAAGGCAAGAGATGATTTACTAATAACGAATTATCTAAAATATAGAACAAGATGGGGTATTGTGACGACCCGCTAGGTCGTTTTGAGTACTAGCCTTTATTTATGTATTCTGAGACCCCTATTAGCTTCATATGATATTTCTTGATTTGCGTCCGTGGTCCAATGGGTAGGGGCCGAAGCGGAGCTTAATCTAGAGCACTCGTAGTAGCACTTGTTGTAGATCCTCAGATCGAGCAGAAAGTGGAGATCCATGTTCATACTGCACCAGTGGGACCAGCTCAGGCCCCGGAGAGGTTCATAACCACCCCCGTACTTCAGAATGCTATAGTCCATCTGGTTGGCCTTATGGAGAGTGTGGCCTAAGCTGGAGCATTTTCTATGGCACCAGCCACCTCTCAGGCTGGGGGATGAGCCCAGACTCTCACCACTCACATACCAAAGTAGATGGCTCATGGATATCAGAGTCCAGCGATCCCAGCAGTTGGAGTAGTTCAGCCTATCATTGCTACTTAGCCCATGGAGAGGCATGCTAAGTCATCTGAGGGGATGAGGAGGTTGGACAAGTTCACTAAGTTATTTCCTGTTCGTTTTGGTGGCACATCTTTTGAGGACCTATAGGATTTCATAGATTGTTGCCACGAGGTGTTGTGTAACATGGGTATTGTAGAGTCCAATGGAGTTGACTTAGTATTATTTTAGATGCATGGTTCCGCCAATAGGTGGCGGCAGGAGTATGTTCGAGGCAGACCAGTAGGCTCACCTCTACTCACTTGAGATCAGTTCTCACATCTATTTTTGGATACGTTCATTCTTTTTACTCTGAGAGAGGAGTATCACAGCAAGTTTTAGCGCCTCCAGCAGGGTAGCATGACTTTTACCCAGTACGAGACCAAGTTTGTGGATTTATCTCACAATGCAGTTGTATTGATTCCTACTGAGAGGGAGAGGGTGAGGAGATTAATTGATTGCCTTACTTTTGGTATCAGGCTACAGATGGCCAGAAAGACTGAGGATGGCATTTCTTTCAACCAGGTTGTAGAGATTTCTAGATGGATTGAGAGAGTTCATGGTTAGGGAAGAGAGGTGGCATATGAGAAGAGGCCTCGTTATTTCGGTGGTCTGGAGGCCGGGATTATTTTGGTAGAGGCCATCCTATCAGGCCGATCCAATTATCACTTCAGGCATCACACAGTGCTTCGGGAAGTCGTGGTTCTTATGGGTCTCATCCTGAACAGTTAGCCTACAGTGCACCTCCAGCTCATATTAGTGCACCGCCGATTCAGAGCTATCACAATGGTTATCCGGACCATTAGGGTCAGTCCTAGATTTAGTAGCCACAACAACTGAGAAAGTGCTTTGAGTGTAGAGGTACGGGTCATATCAGAAGGTACTGTCCCAGACTTCTGAGTAGTATGCCTCAGCAGGGTTCTCATGCCATGGTTCCGGCTCCGGTTGCTCCATCGCTCGCTCAGTCAGCTAAAGGCGTGGGTTAGGCAGCTAAAGATGGTGGTCAGGCCGTTAGAGGTAGAGGCCAGCCAGTTAGAGGCTGCCCAAGAGGCAGAGTCCAGAGTAGTGAGGTAGAGTCCCCAGATGCGGTCATCACATGTATTATTCTAGTTTGCCATAGAGATTCATCAGTTCTATTTGATCCGGGTTCCACTTATTCATATGTGTCATCCTATTTTGCTTCATATTTGGATATGTATCATGATTATTTGAGTGCTCGTGTTTATGTGTCTACGCATGTTAGAGATTTTATTATGGTAGATCGGATATATTGTGTTTGTTTGGTCACTATCGGGATCTATGATACTAGGGTAGACGTTCTACTTCTTGATATGGTGGATTTTGACGTGATCTTAGGCATGTATTGGTTGTCACCTTATCATGCTATTTTGGACTGTCACGCCAAGATTGTGACATTAGCCATGCTGGGGTTTTCTGGATTGGAGTGGAGATGGACTCCTGGATATTCTACTATAAGGGTCATTTCTTATGTGAAGGCTCGGCATATGGTCGAGAAAGTATGTCTGGCATATTTGGCATATATCTGTGATCCTAGTGCGGAGGTTCCTTCCATGGGTTCAGTGCCAGTTGTACACGAGTTCCCAAAGGTGTTTCCTACAGATTTATCGGGGATGCCACTCGATAGAGATATCGACTTCTGCATTGACTTAGTTTCAGGCACTCAACCTATTTCAACCGCACTGTACCATCTTGCCCCAGTTGAGTTGAAAGAATTGAAGGAGCAGTTGTAGGACTTGCTTGATAAGGGATTCATTAGACCTAGTATCTCGCCTTGGGGTGCACCAGTGTTGTTTGTGAAGAGAAGGATGGAACGATGAGGATGTGTATAGATTATCAGCAGTTGAACAAAGTCACTATCAAGAACAAGTATTCATTGCCAATGATTGATGACTTATTTGACTAGCTTCAAGGTGCCAAGGTGTTTTCAAAGATTGACTTGAGATCTGGCTATCATTATTTGAATATTAGGGCATTGGATGTCCCTAAGACAGGTTTTCGGACTCGGTATGGTCACTACGAGTTCTTAGTGATGTCATTTGGCTTGACTAATGCCCCAACAACCTTTATGGATTTGATAAACGGGTGTTCAAGCCCTATTTGGATTTTCTTGTTATCGTATTCATTGATGATATTTTGGTTTATTCCTGCAGTCGAGAGTAGCATGAGAAGCATATGTATATCGTACTTCAGACTCTGAGGGATCGTCAGTTATATGCCAAGTTTACAAAGTGTGAGTTCTAGTTGGACTAGGTTGCCTTTTTGGGCCGTGTTGTATCTTCCGAGTGCAATAAGGTGGACCCTAAGAAGATTGAGGCATTAAGAACTGGACTAGACCTACTTCAGCTACAGAGATTCGAAGCTTCTTGGGTTTGGCAGTTTATTATCACTAGTTTGTGAAGGGGTTTTCATCTATATCAGCCCCGTTGACCAAGTTGACCCAAAAGGGTGCTCTTTTCAGGTGGTTTGACGAGTGTGAGTTGAGCTTTTAAAATCTCAAGACTGCATTTACTACAACCAAAGTGGTGGTGTTGCCCACAAGTTTGGGATTGTACACCGTATATTGTGATGCATCGTGTATTGGGCTTCGAGCGATATTGATGCAGGATAGTAGGGTGACTGCCTATGCTTCTCGGTAGTTAAAGGTTCATGAGAAGAATTACCTTATGCATGATTTAGAGTTGGCAGTTGATAAGTGTGGATTTTGACTACTTATTAACACTTTTTTGCTTTTGTTTTAGTCCGAAAGTATTGATTTATGTTCCCGAAACTAATGAAAGTGTGCAAATTTCAGGAACATTGGAAGTTTGAGCGCCTATGATGAAATTCGACTCAAAAAAGAGGGTGCCTACTCACAAGGAAAGAAGGGGCACAGAACTTAAGAAGTGCGGTCCGCATAAGAAAATGCGAACCGCAGAATTTCATTTGTAACCGCAGATCAAGCAAAAGATCCCAGCAAAGTTTTAACCAATATATGGGCCGCACATGAATTATGCGGCCGCAGAACAAGGTCTACACTGACAAATGATTCAAAGTTCAGAGAGTGTGCAAAAGACAAAGACATGAAACTTTGCTTAAGTGCGGACCGCACAAGAATTGTGCGGCTGACGAGCGCAAAACACACACTTAAATTTTGCTCGCTAGTCAAAGATAGTATAGTATAATATCGTGTCCACATGGATTGGATTTAAATAGTATTATCGTAGTTTGTAGTTAGATTTCTATCCAGGAGGATCAACAATGGAGATATATATGAGTACTAACTACAAATAACTAAGAGTTATTGACTAATGACAATGGCAACAAAGGTAAGCAAGGAAGTTATCAATGGGAGAAAATATGGGTTGATAGGATAGGTGCAAGATAATTGTTCGGGATCTAACTCTGGATAATTCACTTCTAATGTTCAAGTGAGTCTCTCGAATTCACTTAATTATCAATACAATTGTTTAGTAGAAAATCCTCTCTCGATTAAGTCTCAACCTCACAATATGAACCAATTTAAACTCGGTGAAAATATGCAAGAATTCGTAATGGAGTGGTCTTTAGGAGCACCTCTTTCGATTATCATCCTAACTAGATTTAATCAAGGATTCAACTAGCCTCTTTCGATTACTTTGAAGAATCTATGAACTCAACCAACAATATAGTACAAATATATCACAAGTTTGCCTCTCTTGATTACATGAACAAGTAAACATAGATGTAACAATTTAATCTTCCCAAAACAATTCAAATACATAAAAATAGAGTTATAATCCACAAAAAACCATCAATACACCAAATCCATCAAAACCCAAAAGGTTCTACTCCACGGATATGGAGAAGTTCTTCACAAATATAACAAAAATATAAGAAAACATAAATACAATCCAAAACCGGATCTTGAGTTAGGAAGGAAGGATGAAATCCTTGTGCTCTTGCTTCTCCCTCTTCTCCTTAGCTTCCTTAGGTCTAAGGTATATCAAAAGTGCAGAAATGGTGTCTTTTCCGTGTATTTAACTATCCTCCAAGTAAACCCTGGACGAAAATACCCTTTTTAGCGGAAATGGGAACATACTCTAACATTTTTGCACTACCGCACCGCATGCCGCGCCGCACCCTATAGCGCGCTTGTGGGAATTTCCAGAACGAATTGCAAAGCACTTTCTGGCAATAATTTACACAGTTATGCCACCCCATGCGGCGCGGCAGTGTAGTTTGCTTAGAGTAATTCGTATCTTTCCAGTTTTGACATCCGGACTTGGTACTCGACTCCCGAACGCGATCCTAGTTTAATCCCTTGGGCTTCTACTCAGACTTCAAAGCTCCAAATTGCTCGAATTTGCTCTGTAAAATCTAAATAACTCGGAATCACTCCTACACGGTATAAAATACACAATAAGTGTAAAACACTATTAATTAAAGTTCAACGTAAGTAAAGTGTAATAAATTAGAGTGCAATAAGCGATTAAAATATGGGATTATAGCCTACCATCAACACCCCACACTTAAATCATTGCTCGTCCTCGAGAAATCAAACTACACTTCACATAGGCACGGCCTTTTTTTAACAACTCTCCTAACTCATCACGCCAAGAATAATAAAACAGATTAAGCACAATACCATGACATTCTCGCCTCATGATTTAACTCAAAAGCACCAAGCATTTTTCACAATTTTCTCACTTACTCTAACACAGGGGTCAATGACATTACCTTTCCTTCATGAATCCAGTGCCCTCACCCAACAATAGAGAGTAGTTCCACACACTATAAAAGTCAATAATAATTAGGAACTCAAGATAGAAAGAATTCACTCACTCTCAGAAATAACATTCATATGCCACAAAAGATGCATAATAGGCTTGCCCGTAGTGTACTACTCTACTAATCGAGCTTATTCAGTCAAGGATCAAGTAGGACTTTAATTGGTTGTAATGTAGGCTGCGGGACGGGTAGGATACATTTATATATACGAGTAACTACACCTCCCTCAGCACTTTTAATACATATACTTAACTTTAAACCCCACACTTATGTCAAACCATAACTCCACCTTCACATCCGTATATGTGAACTCCATTTTTATTTTCTTTTTCAATTCAAGTGGCTCATATTTTTTCATAACAATACACCTTTCTCCTTATTTTAATAGTTTCACTCAAAAGCCAAACCAACCACCCCACACTTTAATTTTTACAAAGTTCATACCAATTTCAAATGCTCACGAGAGGTAAATGTTTCAAATAGATGGTCAATTCAAACAAAAGGGTAAGGCTTGTAATGTGGTTACCAACGAAACTGGATTACAGGCTAAACGGGGTTAACTACGATACATAACAATTTGGTGGGTAAAATATATAGTTGTTTCAACAAAGAAACACCTATATCAGTTCCAAGACTGAATAAAACTAATAGTTGGCTTTGCAAATACACAGGGCAAATTCTAGACATCAATTGCAATGCACAAAATACACAAACCTCACACACACATGGCACATAACTCACTCAGGATCGGATTCATCAAGACACTCTAATCAAAGTAGTTAAGAAAAGTTAAAATTATACAATTTAAGGTACGTATACAAGAGTCAAAAGCTGAGCATAAGCTTCACAAGTAAAGCACATATTATTCTCAAGGCATAATGAAGTCAAGAGATATTGCTTTCATTTAAAAGTACAGCACAAGATCTCCTACTCCTAAAAAAACTAACTACACTCGGTTCAAACAAAACCCTTGAAAAAGAATCGCGGCACAAAGAAAAACCAAGGGGAAATTCAGACGCTACCTAAAAACAAAATCATTTATCTTTTACTTTCGACTTGATCCCCCAAGAAACATGTCGAATGGCATCCATCGTTGGGAAAAATAAAATTAAAATTAAAATTTTTCAATCAATTGAATTACAAAAATCACATATATACATTTATACATTCTATACATATATACATCCCCACCCCACACTTTAAATTGTGTCATATCCCCATGACACACAAATAAAAAGCAAGAGGTAAAGAAAACTCCCCTGGACGTTTTCCGTTTTCGAGAACTTGTAAACTTTACCCCTAATTCTGAATGCATTTTTCGATTTCGCTCTTCAGGATTCTTTATGGAGCTCATCAGGCCAAAGTCCTTTAGGGATTTTTGAAAGACCCGCTCTTTTCTTTCTTTCTTGGACTCATTTTTAGCGGTTGATTGTTCTTGTATAATTATCCTCAACTTGTTTCTGCATTCATTCACAAGATTAATCCGTGCATATTCATGTAAATCCCCAAAAACAAAATCCACTTGATCAAGATTAAAATAAGAAAATGAAGAAGAAGGGTCATGTGAGTGTTCCTCTGGTATGTCCAAGACCATTTGTTCGCCATTCTCTTCTAATAAAAGTTGTGGATGTGGATATGTGGATAGAGATTTGAACTCTTTTTTTATTGATTCACAATCAACCCAATCATCGTCTTCAATCATCTCAATTGAAAAAGAGTTCTCTTGCAAAGTGGAAAACTCTCTGTAGATGATCATCATCTCGGGTAGGCTCAATTTCACACGGTATCTCTTCCATATATTCACCATCACAATGCAATGAGCTTTCTAAGTGTACTTATTATTTGACTTACTTGTATTGTTAGGTTGTTAATGGCTTCATCATCTTGTGTAAATCTCTCTTTCACCTTATTAATGAACGTATACATAAGCTCTTCCAAACTAACATTCTCAACTTGAGGTGGTTGTCTCACTTCGCATTCATTTCAGTCATAATAAGTGTATTCATCCGAACCAGAGTCAGAATTGTACCCATATGAATCCTCATACTTGTATGGACTAGAGACAAAGTAAGAGTGTTCAAAAGATGAACCATAGGAAGAATACCAACCTGCTTGACAATCAACCCACAAATAATTTCCACCGTATTTAAAACACATAGCAAACCGCTGACAATGTCCAGCTGCTGACTCTTCAACTATTTTATTAGGCTGGTTGTACTCCATCTTTACAACATTTAGAGTTCAGTATCAAGAATATATTCTTGAAGATTTCTTCAACAAAAGAAATCTTGAAGAGAACTTAACATAACAAAACTAATACTAAGAGAAAGAAAAGAAAATATAAAAGCTAATTCCTGAATTAGCACTACAAACTATTTCTAACACTATTGACTGCCAATCCCCGGCAACGGTGC